AGATAAATTCCCTTTAATCCCTCCAACTTGGCCCCCAATGTCCAGTTATCATCGGCTGGAGATCAAACTCTTCCAAAAACAGTCTACGAAGGGAAGAATTGCAGTCCGAACCCAAAGTAAATATAATTAGAAATTTAAAAAAAACCCCACAAACCATTAACACGACAGGCCAGGATGATAAATTGCAGACTTCCAAAAGATAACACAGCACCCACAGTTGGGAGGAGGCCAAAACCCAGATAAGCCTCAACAAAGATAATGCACGCTTTGCTTCTAGCCACTGCCATGCACAGTTTGCCCTTTTAAACAGTCTTCCCAGCTGCAGCCCATGAAGGGGATCAAGGCCCTTTCCTCTCCCATAAGCCACGTTGCTCTCTTCTCCATTCCTCCCTGCATGCCCTAGGATGAAGAGGGGATGGCCCTGCGCCTTCCTCTGAATGCCCAGCCGGCCTGTGCCCTTCCCCCATTTCTTCCACAGCCACCGGATCCACACTCCCACTCCCTGTCAGCTGCTCAATCTCCCCCTCAGAATCAGACTCCAACAAGGGCATGACACTCCGTTAGATATTTTAACAAAGAATTCCTCCACCATGGCAACTTGGGATGATGAGGAGCAGACTTCATCTCCCAGACTTCCCTAGCCAGCTTAGCTTTAGCTGGCTGGCTGGGGGAAATTCTGGGAGTTGAAGTCCCCTCCTCCAAAAGATTGAGGAAAAACTGCTTTAACCTTTTTTTTTTAAAGTGAGAATCAATTTTTTAAAAACTTTTATCTTGGGTCTTCGAGTCATGAAATAATCCGGCCGTTTGCAAATGTTATTATTTTTCTCTAAACAATGACTTCTAATCACTGCGGCCTTTGTTGCTTTTGAACCCCCTGGAAAACTTCCAATCCTCCTTCCCCCCCCCCCCCCAAAAAAAAAAGCAGGGTGCATGAAGCTTGCAGGAATTTGCAAAACTCTCCCAAACCTATAGATTCTATTTCTCCAAAGATCCAACAGAGCTTTCAAAGGTATTGATAATGAGGAATATAATTTTAATCGAAGGCCTTCCCGGAGGTTTGACATTTCCCCTGCTTTTTTCATGTCTGCTTTTTAAAAACTCGTATATTCTCGGCTGTAGCATCTCTAAGATTACTTCTGGAGTTTGGATTATCCTCTGCTGGATAGTCTACGGAGGGAGTAAATGCAGTCGGAACCCAAAGTAAAGTTAATTAAAAATAAAAAAAACCCAACACAAACCACACTGAAGGAATTAATACAGCAGGCCAGGATGATTAATTGCAGACTTCTACCAGATAACGCAGCAACCACAGTTGGGAGGAAGCCAAAACCCACATAAGCTCCAACAAGAATAATGCACGTTTTGCTTCCAGCAACTTTGCCATGCGCAGTTTGTCCTTTTAAACAGTCCTCTCAGCTGCAGCCCATGAAGGGGATCAGGGCCCCTTCCTCCCCCGTAGACCACGCCACTCACATTTCTCCCTTATCTGCTCCTCCCTGCGTGCCCTAGGATGAAGAGTGGGTGGGCCTGGGTCTTCCTCTGAATGCCCATCCAGCCTGTGCCCTTCCCCAGTTTCCTCCACAACCACCGGAGCCACACTCCCACTTCGTCAGCTGTTCCATCTCTCCCTTGGAGTCAGACTCCAACTGGGGCATGACACTGTCTATTTCTCCATCATCTAGATGTTAACTGTCTGTCTCTATCTCTTTCTCTCAATGTCCATCATCTATTTCGATCTGTCTATTTATCATCTATTATCTGGGTCTGTCTGTCTGTCTGACTATCTAATATAATCTACCTGTTTTTCTCTCTCTCATCTATTACCTATGTCTCTATCATCGCTTTTTCATGTATTATCTATTTCTATCTGTCTATTATCAGGATGGGTATATTTTATCTATCTAATCTATCATCTCTGTATCATATCTATCTTTATATCTGTCATCTATCTCTTCATCATCTATTGTATGTATGTCTATCATCTACCTCTTTGTCTATTACCTAATGTCTCGATCATTTATCGCTATATCATGTATCATCTATTTGTATCTATCATCTATTATCTGAGTCTCTCTGTCCATCCATCCATTCCATCCATCCATCCATCCCTATCTGTCTGTCTGTCTGTCTGTCTGTCTGTCTGTCTATCTATCTCTTTGTCTCTCTCTCTCTTATTTATCCAACTATTTCTGTCTAGCTATTTTTCTATTGTGTGTGTGTGTTGTCTCGCTGTCTCTTAGATTTATTTGCTTCCTGTGATTCTGGGTGGTTTACAATAGAACAATATTTTCTTTTCTTCCGCAGAGGTTCCAGCCCAGCCCCATTGGGAGAAAGCAGCATGATGAGCAGCGGCTGCCCAGGTGCCCTCTAGGTCTGGCCAGCTTGTCTAGGTAAAGGGCAATGTCATTCAATTGGTCACTTTTTTCAGTGGGTCTTGCAAAGTTCTCCGGGCGAGGGGCTCTGGGGAAGGAAGGCCTTGCCTGCCATTTCCCAGATTCCCCCCTCCTGGTCTTCCAGGTGGGAGTCCCAGATCTACATCTTGCAAGGGCATCCCTTTGGCAAGGTCTGGTCTAGCCCACGCCATCTCTATGGAAATGGCGGGTTTCCTGTGGCGATCTCCATAGCAACCCCGGGCTTGTATCTAGGCCAAGCCGCTCTTTCTTCATGGCAGTGGTGTCAGGATGTAGGCCAAGACCCCAAATTGAGGCCTTGACAACCAATATCTTGCTTGGGGGGGCTCAATAATAGGGCATCTCTTCCTCTTGACACCCCCTTTTTTTTAGCTTCCACCATTGTTTGCCAGATTTGTCATCTTAGTTAAGTTTCCCACTTTTGGGAAAAACAAGAACTTTTTCCACTTGAGACTTTTCAAGAAGAGATTGGTCTGCATTTGTCAGAAATGGTGTAGGGTCTCCTGCTTGGGTAGGGGGTTGGACTAGATGACCTGCAAGGTCCCTTCCAACTCTGATTATCTGTTAAATCTGTTAAAAGAAGTTTTACCTTGCACCAGTTTAGGCTGGCTTGCAACTGATGCTAGGCCTGCATCCCATTGCCATGGCAACATCAAAAGGCAACCAGGCTTTGGGCCTCTCTTCCTGCTGTGTGTGTGTGTGTGTACTACAACTCCCAGCATTCCCAGCAGGCCAGGCGAGAGCCATAACTCAGATATTTGAAGAACCCATGTTGGGATCCAGCAAGGCTGATGATGGCTTGCGAAGTTTGCTTATCTCGGTCAACGTTGGGGTTTCGAACTGAGTTTCCTCCACTGAGGATGGGAATGGGACTGAGATGGCCCAACAGATTCTCTGCTCGGCTTTGAATCAGTTTCCATAACAGGGACGGGGTCTCCACAAAGGTGAAAACAGCCACCTGCATTGCCCGCCCACCCCCTTCCCCAATTGTCCACTTGGTCACTTGCGTTGTACAAATTTTAATGCCACTGAGATGTCCCCTCAGCCCCCTAAGTGTCCGTGGGGTGAAACATTAGATGCAACTAGCATCAGACCTAGGTTGGCTTTGGATGTTGGCTTAGGCAATATTTTACCAGTGTGTGTGTGTGTGTCTTCAAACATGGTGACTTTGAAGGCTTGTGGGACTTCAACTCCCAGAATTCCCCAGCCAGGGAAGGCAATTTCCCAGAATTCAGCACAAATAGGACAAGAGCAAAAGTGGCTAGATTATCTTTTATCACATTTTTTGAAAACATTTAATAGATGGTGTGAATGCAGTAGACGTAATGTATTTTTTTTTATTATTTTTTTTAAAACAAGTTTTATTGATTTTACAAACAAACAAACAAAACAAAACATCATTAAACATTAAAAATATAAAACCTCTTTCCATTGTAAATCTTTACAAGGCAGGTAACACATTGCTTTATATCACATACTTATAATTTATCCCATTTCCATATAAACACGTAAATTCCCTTTACCAAATTCCACATTGTTTCTCTTTAATCATATTTCCTTTCTAATTTATCTGCTATTCAATCATCACATTTATATTTTCCTCTGGCTTGTTTATAATTGTTCTTGTTAGGTATAACATAGGTCACCTAACTAGTTTGGGTAAGATAATATATATATAAGCTATGATTCTTAGTTTAAAGTGTGTGTTACTTTAAATGCAAAGCATGTATTTTGGGTGTGGTGTGAAAACACCATAAGAGGGAGCAAGAGATGCTGACGAGAAGCTGACGATTCCCTGACGCTTTGCTGGCAATTACTGGAGTTGCAGACGGAAGAGAGGAGTTTCTGAGTTTGTTGCATATCTCTCTCTACTGCGAGGAGATAAATTACCGGACTGTTATTTTGTAAGTGTACTGACCTCTCATTTTTGACATTGGAATTTGCAACTGGACAATCCCTGGATGGACTGAACTAAGTGTATGATATATGGACTGTTTTGACTATGCTTAAACTCTTGCTGGAATAAAACTACTTTAGTTGGCACTGTGTATGGTTTACTGAGTGTAAGCTACACAACACGATATCTCACATATTTTGCCTGCCTGCCTGACTGCCCTGCAGATCTTGCTAGGGTTTATCCCTAACAGTTCTCATCTAGTCTTCCTCCGAGATTTTATTATTTAATTCTTAATTGAACACACACACATAAGACATAAACATAAAAACATAAAGCTTTCTTTTAGAAAGTAACTTGGCCCCAAATTACCTCTTTTTGTATGGACTTCAATTGAATTCATGCTCTTCTTATATACCATTACCTATCTTGTTTACCATTCTATATCTATTATATAACTCCTCTCCACTTTTGCCTCGTCTTAGTTCTGTTTTATATATTTAATCTTGCTTTAAAGAAAAATATTTTTATATCTTTTGTCCATTTCTCCATTTACATCTGTCTCATTTCCAATATAAAAAAGAATAGTTTCCCCTGGAATCACTAATCGGAGTATGATGCCTTTCTATCATTCCCCTAAATTAAAATTTAAAATAACACCTAAGTCCCAATCAGATTCTGCTTAGTACATTCTACTATTTCAGAAACCAATACTACAATAATAAATCCATAACAGTCAACACATTAATCCATTAAACTTTATATTTAAACTAATATTTTAAACATTCCCTTTAATATTTTATTAAAACTTAATATCATTCATTATTAAACATTTTGAAGTTATACCTTAATATTTTAGTCTTTTATTAGATCTTAAAAAGTTCTGATTATCTACTTATAATACAAATACCACTATTACAATACTCATGTGTACTTTGCAGAATCCCCTTTTTTTTTTAAAAAAAACCCATACATTACCCATTATCCCTAAAAAAAAATTTCTTTTCTCCATCTTGTTTTATACCTTTGTAACTTTTTTCCCCCTTTTCCCTTTCCTTCTTAGCCCGCCTAAACTTTTT